GCTTTTGACAGAGATAGCCAATTAATACTTGCATAAAGATTTCCACTGAGACTCTGAACAAAAAGAAAAAGTCAAAAGCAAGTGCAGCCACACATGAAGGCTCGCGAATGCTCTGGCCTGGGAAAAATCTTAGAAAAAGTCCATGCACTTGTTATTCGGTGACACATAGCCACACAGCAAAATGAGTCACCCACAGGCAGTCGGCCACTTCTAGGAGGACACCTGTGTTCTTTCACTGACAATCTCAGAAGCTCAAAGGAACTGGCATGGCTGTCCCATGAAACCTACAGCCACGTGTGGCCTGACTTGCATATGGTGGACCTTTTCCTCCGAGTTAGGAAGCATCTCAGAAAGCTGTGATCCCTTCACTAGAGGTCACTGAAGAGAGCTCTCAATTGTCCCTTCTGGGGATGCGCCCGTGAAAGTGTCCTCACAGTGGGCCTCCTAACATCACTAGGTCATGGTGGCTACAGTGATGGGATTTCATCAAACTGCTATAAATCTGCCCATGTGGCTTGGCTTGTAGCGCAACATGCAAAAAAAAAAAAATGCATTAGACAGGATAGGAGGGCTCTCTGTGCTCTCCAGGATGGGAAGGCAGAGGAAATTAGCTGGTGCTGGCTGGACCAGGACCACCTCCGAGCAGACGTTGGGGGTCAGTCAGAGATCAAATGACCCTGTTCTCAGCCAAGGAAGGGACTTGGAGGGAGATTAAGTGGCAGCCCAGAATGGAGGGGCAGGTGGAGACTGACCTGTGATCCAGACTCCCTGTCTGGGGGCTGTCAGAGCCCCCTGGGCTTATGCCTTGGGATGGGACTGTCTGGGCGAGGGAGTGCCCAGGCTCACGTGCTTGGGGCTCCCTCCTGTAAAAACACAATATATAACACAAAGTCTAAGCCAAAACCTTTTTTTTTTTTACATCATTTACAACAGTGAGGAAGATGCAAAAGCTTCGAGTGGAAAAACAATACAACGAACAAGGACATTTTCTGGTGTTAATTAGCAGAGTGTGCATTTGGGGTGCACGGTTTAATTCATGCCTTGAAGTTTCATCATCCTTTGGGATGATGACATACTAAAGGGAGTGTGGAAATAATGGACCTGATAATATCTCTTAATTTAAAAAAATTTAAAAAGATATGTTTGTCCATGATCGTTCTGCTCCTCTTAGAGTCACACAAGTGATATTGTTACATCCAAAGTAAATGGGGTTATTTAACAACTATAGAAAGTATTAAAAATACTTTGATATGCTATGTATTCTTGATATGCTATGTATTAGGATTCCTTTTAAGAAAGAAAGAAGAAAAAAAAAAACACAGTGCCCAGACAATAAGGTATGTGAGAATGTCAGAATAGGGGTCGGCTTCATGGGCTTGGCTCCATGGTAACCTATAGGTAAACATGAGTCATGTAATCCAAGTCTGAAAGTCTGAAATATCTGAGAGAGTCCTTAACACTTCTTCATAAAGATGATTCCATTATGATGTCTTGTTAAATATAATAACTTAAATACCTCACAGGCAAGATTTCTCAAGGGCTATCTGTAGTATCACAATATTTGTCACATGATATGAGTGGGACTTTTATAGACAATTTTTTTTAAAAAGTAAGTGATTATGCTAGAAAATATTGCTAAATACCAAGTATTCTTTGGGCCCTAAATTTGTAGCTTTAATATAATATTGGATATTTTGTTGTTATTCATTTAGGAGTTTTCAAAGCCTTGTTATAGGAAATATGGTTAGAACACTAAGCAGACCACAGAGGAAGTTCTGAATTTCAGAACATTTTGCAGTTTTACCTGTACTCTTGTTGAGCAACTGAGTTAAGCTAAGCTAAGAAGCTCTTACCTGGTGACCTCATGCAAAACAAATCAAACAACATTCCAAGAAGAGTTTATCCACAATAAGCCCTAAAGCATCCAAGCGCTCTGGGAAGGTGTAAGATAAACTCTAACAGATTAGTCATTTGTGATGGAGTTCTATGATGCCATTCTGGACCACGCAATGGTATCACTTGAACCTATCTATTGTTTCTAAGGTAAAGTATCCTCTAGTAAACTTTGAGAAGCCACTTACAAGACAATACCATCAGCAGGGAGCTCCAAAGTTCAGGGCAATGTTATTATCCTGGACTGAAAAAGGCAGGGTATATGATGGAAAAGCTAACATAAGTTTCAGACAAGCAGTTAAGAAACATCTGCTGTTTAGATTTTTTTTTAAGTATTAAGGCATGAGGAAGCAATAGAGATCCAGGCAATAATCACTAGCACTGCAGTGAGAAATAAGTAAAAACAAAACAAAACAAAACAAAACAAAACAAAACAAAACAAAACCTTGGTAGGTCCAAAAAGTATGGTGAATTAAAACCAGTTGGCAAGTTTAGAAGAAAACTAAGGGAGGGTTTTAGTCCATGATGGGAGATAAAGGTTTGAGGAAGCCTGGTTTTGCCTGAACTTTCTAAAGTGGAGAAACAAACCCAAAAAGTACATGCTGTTTATATCTACCTCATTATAAATGACTTTAAATGTAACTTCCGACCTCATTCCCTCTTCAAAAAAGAGGGGGTGGTGGTGGCTATCATTTAAAACGGACTGTGTTGCATTTAGTGACGATGATTCCGTTAAAGAGCAAGTTTACATAAATGCCCTTTTAAATGTCCTCAAAAGGAGAATTTAAAAGGGAAACATATTCCAGTAGTCTGAGAGAATGCTTAGATGGCAGCCATGAAGCCCTCGGAGTGGTGGTTTCACACTGTAAGCCGTCACCATGCTCTAGGACGGCAGCAATTTCCCCCTGATGCTTCCGGGCTGTGTGAATACTGGGGAGAGGAAGGGTGACCCCTCTGAAATGGCTGGACCACGGGTGATGAGAAGAAAGGAATGTTATCAAAATTCCCTTCAAAACGGAACCAAGACACCACAATGGCAGGTTACTGGAGGACAGAGCCTGCAGTGAGGGTGAGACCCTCACTATCAGTGAGTATTGGGATGGGCACAGTTGCGGAGATGCCTATGTAAAAGAGAAAAGCCATGGTTAATTTTAAAACAGCAAAAAAAGAAAAAAAGAATTAAGAAGACAAAACCAAGACCAAGAGGCATGGTTTACAGTTCTCTGATGATGTGGTTAATTAACTTTTCACACTAATTGCACAGGACCTTAGACTGTCTTTTTCCATTAGAGGTTCAGACTTACTCAGTTGAATTAGACCGAGGTCTAAATCTTTTTCCTCTGATTTTCTTTCTGTTGCCTCCCAGGTTACCTGAAAAAGATGGTTTATGGCTAGATTTGAATATAAATAAAACAATTGCCACAGGTTTAATTACATGGTATTTCAAGTGGGTGTAATTCACAACCAGCACCAGCCCAGAATATAGGGCTTTTTTGCACCGTACAGCCTTCTCAATGTGTCCAGTGCACTCGTGCTACCAAATCCTATCATTTCCCGTTCAAGAAAAAAGAACTGGACTCTCTCATAATCATAATAAATGCCCTCCTCTCTGCTGGGAGAAGAGCTAAAGAGTTTTCAGGAAGGAACAAGTCTTTATAAACAGGGACCACAGAATATAGACTTTAGGTGACACGGACAGATGGGCTCAGAATGCTGCCCTATACCTTGCCAAGAGTTACTTCGAGGTCGCCCATTTTCACAGATGTCTGAAATATGTTTTGTGTCTGGAATCCTTTCACTCCAAGAATGAGAGAGTCCGTTTGACCTGAAATTGAAAATGTGTATATATTGTTCAAAACTATAATCACATGAATGTTTTGAAATCAGTAAGCAAAATTTCTAAGCATTACTGTGCATTAAAATAAACCGAGAAAGAAAAAAATTGGAAATGAAAGAATGAAAACATGAAAGTCTTCATGAAGAAGGCAGAATTACACAACATCCAATTTAAGAAAAGTCAAATACAATGGAACCCCATTACAATAGTTCGTAATTGAAAATTATCAGGATACAATGCAAGCCAATTACATTCCCCAGAACACAGCGACCACAAATACAAATTCACTACATATTATTTCGGTAACATAACCCAAGCAGCAGAGTTATAATGGGGTCCCACCATAGATGTTTCTTAATTGTAAAGCAATGGTTTCCATTCAAATATTATGAGGACATGGACTTTCAAGAGATCTCACTGAGTTGCTCAATTGAACCTGGTTAGCCTTTATCAAAGTAATATTTAGGTTTTCTTAAACAAGAAAATTATGTTCTAAGAATTGGCATTTTCTCCACATTTCTCCTCCAAATGTAATATTGTTGGTTAACTGTCCAATAACTGAACTGAGTCTGATGTTTATCATGGAAGTGTCTCTCACAAAGTCCATGTACCGTTAAGCCCTTCCACTATTTGTGTCCTGCCATCTTTAAATGAACTGTCTACAAGAAGCAAAATTTACACAGCTACCTTGTACCACATAAGAAGAGCATTCTGACAAACTACATATACTTAGGGGGAGTCACACAATTTGATACAACATTTAACTGCTTAAAAGTCAAAACCCATTGAGACTTTGCTAAAATCTGGGAATTATTCTAATTAATGTTTTAAACTCTTCTTGAGGTACTTTAGCAAATAGCTCTGTACTTTAAATCTTTTCCACATATCATTCCAGCTAACTGCTGTCTATTCTAAAAGGAACCTTCTACAGATGAATGAAAATATATGGAACTCAGCACAATTATTACATAATTCCCCAGATTTTTCAACATCATTTATGAAGCGTAGAACGACTCCTATTTTGTATAAAAGTACAATAGAAATTCTGCTGGAATCCACTGATCTCTCCACTTATTTACCATATTATTTAATTTAAAAGTAAATATTTGACCAAGAAAATAATGATATACTGAGAAAATTTAGGTAAGTCTTATTCTCTTAGCCAAAAAGTCAACAATAAATTAAAAGAATAAAAAATTTTTGAACACCCTTCTATAGCACTTCTTATGCAAAAACTAATATTTTTACTTTTGCTTTAAGTTGTGTTATCTGAGTGAAAACAATCCTGCATGCTTAGGACAGTTTTACATAGAGTTAGTTCTCAGATCTCATTAATTCCTCCTATTCTTTTTCTGACTCTTTAAAAAGAGTGAGATCCATTGCAGAATTTTTACAGATGATTTACTCTATTTAGAACTCCAGAGGAGATCATGTTTCTTCTCAAAAAAACTAGCAGTTTCCCTTTCAGTCTACAAAGTAACTACTGTGCCCAAAATAATGCATGGGGCTCTCAAATCTTTTTTTCTATACATTACACCCCTACCATCAGTTTTAAAGGAACTCTTTCAAAGGAATATTTTAGCTTTTTTCAATGTGAATGTAGGTCTCATTTCCCAAAACATTCCAACTATTTATTTCTACTGTCAGCTTATTTTTATTAAGCAATTATAAAGCATGCAGAATTTAAAACGATCTTATACACCTTAAGATCCTGGAGTGAGACTACAGCATCCAAGTTTAAGACATATAAATAATATATTAATCCCACCTGGACTGTTACAAAACTCAGGCAAACATTAAATATACTTAAATTAATTTGGCAACAAAGCTCTAAGTTATAAAGTCTAGAATTAATCATTCCAGGAATGAAAGGCAAAATAAATCATAATATTCAAATATATGATTCACAGAGAAGCGATCTTTTTTTTTCACAGCAAGCTTAGCTTTGACAAATTTAAAATTAAAAAAGAAATACTCAGTGTAGCATTTATATTACCAATTTATCTTAACAACTGCTTTTATTGAAGCATGACAGTAACCTTTTTCTTTGACTACCAAATATGACATAAAGCTCACCATTTAAAAGATGATAAAATACATTGCATAGTTTCTTAAGCTGTAGAAGAGCAAGGTTGAAAAACCCTGGGGTTTCTATCCAGATTTAGGGTGGTTATTTGTTTCGTTTAGTTCCATTTGGATTTCTGGCCTGATTTGTTAAACCAGTGGTTCTGAGCATATGGCATTTTGAAGTAGAGTAATCAAAGAACAAAGGATACTATTTTTTAACATTCAAGAAAGAAGGAAGAAGTAATCAAACCTGCTGCAAAATAATGAAATGTTCTGACTAATGGAATAATGTGTGATGGAACAGGTAGAAATCTGAAAATGCGACAGAAAAGCAGACCTCTTCTTAGAACTAGATGCTGAGTTTGTGCTGACTCCAGGAGGAATGTCGCTATAAAAAGAGTCGCCATCTCCAGGCTTTTTTACATAATCTCCCTGGGGTAACTGTCTAAGGCATAATAAACATTTCAGAGTCAGAAAACAAGACACACACATGAACACAGACATATACAAATATTATTTTAGGAAAAAGGAGGTAGGGGTAATGATCTACATGAATCAAATCTATAACAACATGTAAGATTATTAATAAATATGACAAGTTAGTCATTCTAACTGTAGAGGTCAGAAAGGCAATCACTGAAGTCTCTCCACTCTGGATGAATAAAGCCTTGCTTTGGGGGAAAAATATGAAAAGATGAGGTTTTTTTCACTGTAACTTCATCATACTTAGAGATGGTAACTGCCATTTTGCCTTAAAAAATAAATGAATAAAACTGATGCCGAAGGAGCGTGTTGAGACAGATAGTCCTTGCCCAGAAAAGGCACAGTTTTTTTCACTGTGGTGAGTAAATTAATCATAATTTTTAAACATTATACAGTGTAACCTTGGTTTGGTCTTAAAAGAACTGATTGATTTCTAAGCTATGTTCTATAATTTAATCTAAATAGAGTCTTATTCCAGTCCTCTGTTCAATCTGGAACTTCACTGTTCATTTAACAGAAGTATGAAGAAATTGAAAGAGATGCAAAGGTCAATCAAAAATGTCATTCTAGGGGGAGAGTAGAGCTCAAGTGGTAGAGTGCATGCTTAGCATGCATGAGGTCCTGGGTTCAATCCCCAGTGCCTCCATTAAATAAATAAATAAACCTAATGACCCCCCTCCCCCAAAAAAAGGAAAAGAAAGAAAAATGTCATTCTATAACTGTAGAGCGTGGGAAGGAAGGTAAGTTAGCAAGAAGAAGAAAAGGTTGAAAAAATAACAGAATTCTTATTGAGACTATTGAAGGATTTTTATAGGTGGCCTTGACTCTCCATCTCCAACAAGGGAAAGTCTACCTAGTCTGCACCATTACCGACCCCACTTACTCTGATTTTGCATTAACAAAGATCAGAACAGATTTGTATTACTTATTCTAAGGGAACAGGGTGGAAAACTGAAGCAAGGAACTTCTGGTCAACGCTGATCCTTCAGTGACTAATCTGATGCTTTGCTGGTGCATGGCCCCCAAACAGGCAACTGCATCTCAGACTTGACTCGGTTCCATTCAGCACGGATGCTGGAGGTGCCACAAACTAGAGTGGAACTGAGAATTTTAAACAGAGCTATAATTAACTAGGTCTCCAACAAAGGCCCCCATTTGTTAACTCCTCTTCCTATTTGGTTTTTCCTTAGTTACCACACTAGTCGTAGTTACCTGCTGATGCTGAATTCTATCCCTCAAATGCCACTTTCAGCTGTTTCCTTGCTTATGCCAACTCTCACATTGTTCGTTCATTCTTTTGAATGACTAAATACTCTCTCTCATACTATTTCCATTCTACATATTCACACCTCTCTACAAATAAAATTTTTCAACTAGTACAAAGCACCTATGTACATTTGTGAGGTTAAATCTCCTCCTCCCCTTTAAAGAAATCAAATTTCTCATTAGATTTGTGAGATCAATTTTACATAAAATTCTTTGATACATATTCCTTCAAAATATTTTTAACCTTTTAAGTGACTTCAGCTCATAATTGTAATCTTTCTTTTTCCCAGTGTATTACAAAACAATTTTACTGGAAAAGTAACACAATTTCTCCATATTTATAATGTTAAGAACATAGGACAAAAGATATATCTGCTTATGCAAGAGATCTTTACTCTCTAGAATCATATTTTCTGTCTTGCCGCCTATCAGGAAGATATCCTATCAATACTTGAAGAAATGCTCTCAAGAAAATCAAGGTTCTGTAAGTTGCCTCTAGGAGGAAAATTCCCTTCTGTATCATATTAATATTTATATAAAAATACCAAGAACATACCATCAACATCACATTTTCAATACTAATCTTTATAGCTAACAAATCATTTCTGTCACTATTACCTTTACAGATAATCTTTACAAGCTGATGAGACATGCCTCACTAAATTCAAATTAAATAAAAACAAGTTATCTTTCCCATTAATGTATCCCCCAAGTCACCCTCTCTTTACATGGTTCTGGCTTTCGGGCATTTACCAAGGGCTCACTTGGCTGAGATTGCAGGCTTAAAGGTACCTCCTCTCACAATGGATGGGGCCCAGTTTTGTTTCATTTTTTTTTAACTAAGCACATTTTACCACTCCTTCAAAGTAATTTCTCTGCAGCCCATCTTTTACACAGTGTACAAACATCCTTAATGCTAAACATATCATAAACTGTGGGCTTTAGTCAAAGATTTGAAAGGGAAGTTTAAGTTCAGTGAACTTTGGGAGCATAGCTTTGCTTTTTATCATTCTGGGCAGGCTAGATTCTTATCTGTCTCTACTGTGAAGTCTTCAAAATAAAGAAACTATTTTCCTTAAAATTCCATGAGGAATGCATGTAATTTCTTCACATAGTAAATGCCTAAAAATGTTAATAATAGACGATGAATTCTGTTAAAGATCTCTTAGGAATAATATATAACATTCCCCACTATCCAGGAATTTATCCTTTTTTTCAGTATCTAGATAGTTACACATTATAACAAACCTATTTCTTCTTAATTAACCTTTAGTGAAGACAGAGAATATCAGGTCCCCATGATCAATAAAATAACACTTCATTATTTGTTATAAAAGATCATAAATGACCAACTAAATTATAGCTTTAATTTTTTAATTGAATTTATTTTTCTAGTCTTCATAGTTTTCTTCCTAAATTTTGCTGGTTTCATAGAATTTTGGATTTAAGTGGCCTGAGCAGTGCTAAGTTTTATAATGGAAAAATTATCTCATATTTCCCATATCACATGCAAATATGTTAGACATGTGCATGAATTTTTATACTTAATGGCCAAAAGTAAATAAAAGCTTATATAATGAAATTCTTTTTCTTCAAAAAAGGATCCCTGTTATGAGGAAGTCTAATCTTTCCTAAAGGGTGCATTGAACCAGAATACTTAATAATCTTTACACATACTCAAAATGAGATTTTAATGAAAAAAATTTAATTTAGGTCTTAACCTTAATGCTGAAAGAGGCATTTCTCCAAAGCTTTGTTGGTGTCTGGGCTGTCTGCTATTGCAATTGTTACTTTTCTGTTTTAAGAAATACTGTGTAGTGCGTACTAAGTCACACTGACAGATGTATGAATATCACTGAAGTAAGAAAAATAATATAAAAACAAACTAAGAAGTATTGAAAAAAAAAGGGGGGACGCCACAAGCAGAAAGTAAAGTGGCTAAAGCAGGTAGGAGAGAAAAGAAATGGGGGAGGGGGTTTCTGCTTAAGGTATGAATCAGGAAGATATGATCTAATTATTCTAATTCACATTATGTATGTTCAATGATGTATGCTCATTCCAGACAAGGAGACTATTTCAGCTGAATACTGATGTTTTATAAATCCAATTTCAATGAATGTTTTCTTATTCTACTATTGAGTTGCAAACCTACCTGAAAACTAAAATTCAAACCCGTAATTCTTGCCACAAAGTAACAAGTCCTTAAGCAGTTTTGCTAAAATATAAACAAGAGTATCAACTGAAAAAATTACGGAGGACCTCTTTCCTAGAGATTTTAAAGAAAAGAATCAGTAGTCATCCTTCTAACTACATGATGTCTAAGAATTTTCCATGGCTCCTCAGTTCCATGGTTCTACCTTTCACAAGATGACACTGGCAGCTTTAAAGTGACATCGTTCATGTATGGGGTTCTGTCTCCACTGTGCCCCAGAATGAGACTTCTACTTTTTATTAGGCAATTTGTA